TTTCTGTTTGTAATTTATTGTAGTCCATGTTGAAATCGTGGTTATTTTCTAGAAGGTGACAAGAATAGGTGGAATTAGTTTTTTTCAGCTCAAAACTTATTTTATGTTTGGCGATTTTCGTTTTAAAATTTTTGAAGTCCTTCTACATTTTACTTTGTAGAACCCCCCATTCGTTATCTTTGATCTTTTTGACTTGTTCTTTATATGTCTACCGAAGGAGTTACCAATCTTATATGCTACTAGTAAGCCGCTCTGGCTCCGCACGGGTGCAATGCTGTGAATAATACAGTGCGACTGTATTACGGTACTACGGTACTAAGTAGCTAGATTTTGAAATTTTTTTGACAACTTTTTTATCTCACATAAAAAATATTTTTGTTATAAAAAGTATCCTATGTTAAATCTAATATCTCCAAGAACATGTGTACAAAATTTCATGATGATTGGTTGAGTAGTTTTCACGTGAAACCGTAACAAACAAACTTACATTCGCACTTATAATATTAGTAGGGATAGGGATGTTGATGTTATCTTTTATTAGTAATCTTTTTATTTTATCCGATGATTTTTCTGTATATGTAACTGTTTTGTACGTTTTAGTGACATTTTTTGTGAGGTATACTTGAATTAATGGCCCGTTTGGTGATTTTTTTTGTCGAAGATGTAATGAATTATGTCTGGGTTGAAGTTGATGTTTACTGCAATTTGTTTTATCAAATTTAATTACTCATTGAAATTCTGTGTGGATATCGGGATGCTAGTGAATCTGTGGATCAAGCTAAAGTATGTTGATTAGGGTGATAAGAATAGTTATTGATAATTGTGTCAGTATGGGTTGGTTTGCGGTAAATTGCGAAATCATGTTTGTTGGTGATTTTTGTAATTGTGAGGTTTAAGGAAATAACGATTTTAATCAATAAACGCAAATACTCGGATTTTTTTCAAATGATCAACAGAAAGTTATTATTTCACCATTATTATTATAAAATTTAATTAATTACTTTATTTACATGTTAACTGTTTTCTCAGAAATAGTATTGTATTAATTTGTGCTTTGTAAATCTACCTGTTTTTCCATAATTAACGATTTACTCAAATGAGTTTTGACATAATATTGTGCCTGTTTTCTAGAGTTTGAAGTACTTGTGACTGATGAAACTACCGAGTAGCGAAATGCATTTTGAATAAAATTTATTGAGAAAATTTCATAATTATTGTCATGGAAAGTTTCAATACCTATAAATAAATTGGATGCTTCAAGTGTTTAACTGAGTATCACGTCAATGAGAAGCAAGAGANCATAATGGAAAATGATGTACACAAAATCATGTTTTTTGAGTTTTCCATTTATTCTCAAGTCATTTATCAAATCTTGCATCAACAGAAGTTGCTTAACTCAAATTGGTTTTCAGTTCCGTGAAAATATAAACAAGACGTTGACAGCTGTCACAAAAAAAGCAAATTGAGGTAACTTGCAAATGATTTACATCGTGTAAATCCCTAAAAAAATATAATATATCAGGAAAATATTTTAGCAGTATATAACTCAAATCTATAGTAGGTATCTCCCGTATTCACTTGATATTTGGATATTTCATAGAAAGAATACGGAGACATACATTAAATGTTATAGCTGCTTTGAATATTGAAGCAGATCAGATAAACGTCTATTCATCATTGAACAAGAAAAAATATACTTTGCTCAGAAACAAAGTCATTCAGAGGTCACACACGAATACTGCGAAGAGTACATGCTGTCTAAGGACAACTACCAAAAGAGGATATTTGGGCATATCGTAATCGGAATGAGAATAATTTATTATGCATAACAAAAAATCATGGTCGTGGGACATTTAACAAAAAACATCAAGTGGGTAGGTGGAATACCAAATTTTGTATATTACATCTAGGAGAAGGCGTGAAAAAAATATTATTTCTCAAATGTAGGTAGTTGTCAGTATATGGTTTTCATGGCAAATGAGGATTGAATTACTTCGATAATTACTCGTGTAGAAGAACGTGAAGAATTCTCAAACTGTATACAGGGTAGTTCAACGGAAACAACCTCGATTTTTTTATTGATATTCAACTTCATATACTCAATCGAGCGAGAAGAGGCCTAATAAAGATTCTAAATTCGCCAGATAAGATGATATCTCATTTTCAATCATTCTTCGTAAGCAAATATCAACTTTTCTCTTCATAAACTTAATTTCAATACAGTAAAAAAATTTCTACTAGGTATGGTTTATTATAATATAAATACGAAGTCGGTTGAATTTGGGCATTCTAGCCAGTGGTACATCGTTGAGTAAATATTTCAACTTCAATAAGACAGTAACTTGATTAAAAGTTGGAAATAATTGTGTGCAATGCGTCAGTAATAACTGAGGACTCTAGTCTGAGAATCATATAGTTGAAAACTTTAAATTATGCTATTTGAGGAAACCTTTGTGAATTTTGTTTTTCTCACAGATTGAATAAATATGACTCAGATGGCTTAGATGACTTAGATATAGGTGTATTTACTCTTTCGAAGATATGAATGGATGGAATAATACATCTTCTTTGTCAAAATCTGAGACATTGTGGTTTTACAATTTATAGTACATTCAGTATAAAGCATGGAAAAGTTTCTTGTAAATATAAAAATCAGTTGATTCATTAACTGTATGGTGGTAACTTGAACTCTAAAGTCTTCTTGAGAACCCATTTTGATCAACACTACTTTAGTTTAGGAGCCGGCTTCAGGAGAAATATAGTTAGTCGACTACCACATGTGCCATATAGATTTTTCTCAAAATGAATTCGAATATTCCTAAAAAATAACCCGTATAGTATGATTTGCTGTAATCATATGCTCATCGAAAGTATCGTCTTGCAGATCTAAATTTTGGTAACCGTCATCTAAAAGTGATTTATTTAGCAAACACGTACTCCAAACACATTTAAAATTTAGCAAATCAGTATATAATTTGAATAATCTCAACTAAATTCCTCCATTGTATATTTTATTATCCGTTTTAGAATGTAGATAATTGCAGGATGTTTTTAATGAAGGACAAGCAGTAAAATATCGTCTCAATAAATTAAATCGTGCCATAAAGATGTTCAGGTGAATACAAGATTTCATTGATGGGCCTTGACTTGCGGATTAGCTCGTTCAATTTAAATGTTAAAATTTCTACTTCTCACACACCAAAAAGTGAGAGGACTGAGAAAAACCTCGAAACAATGTCGATGTTAGACGGCGATCCTATGTAGAGATATATTCGTCACAGTTACATAATATTGATGTACCGCTTTAGAGATGGGCTTGATTTCTTCATATTATGTTAGTTTCATAAAGCTCGAGGCGTAACCATGTCCTTACCTATTCAAAACAACATTCATTAATGTACGACCAGGGTTTTGTCTCGCACAAAAACTGTTATTGATGGATCGATGAATCCAAGGAATTTGATTTTATTTAACATCAGTCCCAATGAGGTCAAAGTTATTATTATACTGAGATTTCAAGACCTTCTTAATCTATTGCCAGAAGACCCCTGTGCGCAGTGGATATAAAAAAGGAAAACACTTTTTTAGGATAAGTTTCAGCAACCAATACAATCGATCATAAAAAGATTTTTCTCAATATCTTCAATAGTATGCGAAATGTACAATAAATATGAAAACCGAGAAGGATAAAACTCTTTTCAAATTTCTGAACTATTGGACATATTCGAAAATATCGTGAAACCAATGAGTAATCAGTTTTACAGAAAAGGTCATTATCCAGTTTTGGAGATATTGGACAAAATTTGGAACCGTCTGAAATTGGTGAAATTAGCTACCACAAAAATTGGGAAAAAAGATTATTAGAATTCTTCTGTAACTTCCATTATTCAGAAAAAAACAACTTCATATAATAACTAGCTGATTATAACATCTGAATTCAAATTTGCATAGTACAATATTTTGATTTTCTTCAGTTATTCACACTCCAAATCGGTGTATGAGGATTCTTCAGATACACCAGAATGACTAAGAGCATAGCCTTTCATGGCTGGAGATACGATTAAAGAGAACAACATTCGGGATAATAGGCACATTATAGTGTTAAATTAAGGGATGTTATTATTGTGTGGTGATATCGTGATGATATCAATAATAACTAGCTGATTATAACATCTGAATTCAAATTTGCATAGTACAATATTTTGATTTTCTTCAGTTATTCACACTCCATACAATCCAATTTTCAGTGACTCAGATATTTTTTATCTATGTTTTAACTTAAGGTTGTTGGCCATTGTTTTTGAATCCCAGCACCCATTGAAATAATTCACACTTCGTAATAAAAAAACACTTCAATGTGAGATTTCCACTTGACAATTTATTAAATCGTGACACGTGTTTCGCTATATAATAGCATCTTCGAGTATTGTGACGCCCTAAAGTGCACACATCAAAGTGTGTTTTTTTGAATACGTTATAACGGATATTCATAAAGTATGGGTTAGTTCTATCATATGTTTAAACCACACTTCGTTTGTGAGTTAAATTTGATTTTATTTCTGCCTTGTAACTGTGTTTATATTTGTCACTACTTCCTTATCTATTTTATCACATTTCATAGTTTTTCAAGCATACCTATCTAATTTCTGATAGTAACTTATTTTTCTCTATCAATTCCTCTATTCACATTTTTTATTTCTTCTAAATCAATGATCATTTCTTGTCCTTTGACAAGAAATATTATTGTTTTCAATACTTCCAAATTATATTGTATATTTCCATCAGTTCCTTTTGTCTCTTCAAATTGCCATTCAAATTCTTATGTTAAGTTGGTATAATCTAATACATACGTTCAGAAAAATCTATTCATATTTATGAGATTTCTTATGGACTATGGAGGATTACATCAATACTTGAATCGCACGGAATCAATCTCAAAATGAAAATAAGCACAGTACTCTATGAAACTTTGTTTTAACTGAAACCCTATTTTGTTTCAGAAGAACGAAAATGTCTCCACTATTTCTAGTGGGGATACTCGTATCCACGGCCCTGGCCAACGACGTCCAGTTCTCATTGAAGGGACAATCTCCAGCCGACCCCAAAGATATTAACGCCCTGGCAAGTCAGAAAAACGCCTTCCAAACTGGAAACCCTCAAGACTTCTGGTGGATGTCAGCAAACAGTCCATTCAAAGACTCCTACGAGAACTTCAAAAAATGTTCAGCAGCTGGAAACTGTCTGCCTCCCACTGGTTTACTTTCGAGTAACCAGAAAGGAGGTAACGCAGATTTGGGGGCAATAGACGTGAAGAAGAATCCGTTTTTGAATGGAGTTTATGAAGTGGGTAGTCCGGCTTCGTTTGCCTCTTCATTCTCCGCTTCTTCTTCTTCCTCTTCTTCGTCTGGACTCCTCGCTTCATCCGCTTTTGGAACGAAGACTGAAGGAGTGGCAGGTTTCCATTCCGGGGTAAATGTTGATGTTAGCAAAAACCCATTCTTAAACGGACAATTTGTCACAACAGGTGAGACCTATAAAGTTGCTTTAGTAATTCGAACACCCAAATGAATATTGATCATTTTATCATTTGAAAATCAGAAAGTATAATTGTGTGCAATGCGTCAGTAATAACTGAGGAAGTAATTCGAACACCCAAATGAATATTGATCATTTTATCATTTGAAAATCAGAAAGTATGTCACTGGGATAGAGCGGAGATCACTCCACTCTAAGAAGTTGACGCCAGTCAACCTAATGATAAAAATTTCGATTACGAAAAATATTCAATATGTATGCAATTTAATCAACGAAACAAATATTACCTGGATGAATTTTTTTTTAAATCTTGATTTCCCAATTCTTGCGGAATAGCCACTTTACCTCATAGTATAGAGTTAGGAGGTTAGGAATAACCATCGGTAATATTTTGCATATTTGTGAAACCACAAACTGCCTTGACAAAAATCTACTTCTTCACATGCTTCATTATCTCAAGAATAATTGGGCTGAGCTTTCATCAATGTCGCCATAAAAATTGGATTGGCAATTGAAAACGAAATTAACGACATAATAACTATATACTCACCTTCATATTATTACTGGGTAATTTATAAAAATTGATGGCTTTTCTGTACGTTACTTCAAGTATTGTCGAAAAATTTTAGTAGTACCTACTCATTACCAGCCAATTGCCACTTTATCCCACTATCACACACTAGTGAAAAGAATGTAGCACTCAGATAATCAGAGAACCGATACTTCTAGGGATAGGATCAATATCATATATGATAAACAGTTGACTGACCAAGAACTGAAATCCTTCTTTTTTTTCTCAGGTAACGGTGAGAAAGTACGAAACGAAAACGGATTCCTTGGGGTTCAACCAAAAACTCCAGGTTTTGCCACAACTCATCCATTAGCTAACAAAAAACCTTTCTCAACAACTAAACCAGGAAGCCAGGAACAACAAACTTCTTTCGTCCTTGGAGGAAACGTAGAGGGGAATGAAATAGTTAGTCAAGGCAATAAAGTAGGCCTTGTAGCCTGCAAAGGCCAAGGTTACATCTGTGTTGCCAAGAATCTTTGTGAAAACGGAATTGTAAATAAAAATGGAGAGGGGTTGTTGCAAGTTAGAAATAAGGTAAGTTTTGTCATTTAACCTAACTTTTTTATCTAGAAGCATCTCAAAGCAAATATAAAATAAATGAGACGCTCGAATGACAAGTACAGAGCGCTGAGAATCGCATGTTGAAAGGTGAGACCTCGTTTATTCTCACCTTGAAAATGTTGTAGGTACTGGACATATCTGGCTTTTGACTCTCATTTGTTGATATTGATTTTGTTTTGAAATTTTTGAATTGTATCATCAAAATTATAGGAAACATCAATATTTTATCTTGAAGATGAAATTAACTTTTATATGATCAATTTCATGACTTGACTGAAACTGTGATATACGTACCAGGTTGTCTGTTTTCATAAATCTACTTCTTTGGTGCATTTTATCTTGTATCATTTATTATAATCGAATCCAATAAAACCAAAAGAAACTGGAAACATGATCAATTGATTTCGATAATATCATCTACATCTAGTGAGAAAAAAATTAAGATTTGGAAAACTACATACCATATAGAATTGTCATAATCCAGTCATTGAGTATGCTAACCTATTTTTCCAACTCGAAAAAATATTTAGATAACATTTTTGAGAGATCTGAGAAAGAGATCGGATGCATTGCAAATCTGGTCAATACAGTTCAGTTAAGTTTCAGTCCAGCAAATCTAATCCTTTGTTATATTCTTGAAATAATACGAAGAGTAGATACATTCATTCAAATTTATTATTTTTTGTTACAAAATATGTAGATGAAATTTTCAATTAGAAATTTTACTGCCAAATTTGACGAATATTTCAACTGTATTTTATTCAAACATAATAACAATCCTGGGAGAAAATCAACACAACACGAGTACGTTCCAAAAAAAATTAAAAGATATTTTTATTAAAACGAAGCCTTTGATCAATACTTTATTAATTTTTTGGTTACCTTGTATAATATCATGCTGAAGCACTCACTAGCAAATATGATATGCACGACTAAACCTCCGCTTGTCAATCAAGTATTATAAAATAATTAGAGGGATGGATCATTACCTTTAGTGAACACGGAAGTTGAACGCTAATGAATAACGAGGTTAAACGAGTGTCAAAAATCTTGATGATCCTAACTCGCTTCTCTGTGATATAACAAACAGGCCGATTGATTTTAGAAGGGTATGAAGAATGCATACATTCACTTGTTAATTGCAGCAGAAAAAAGTCTTTGTATTGAGTTATTTTGAATACGAAGAGTTGGGAGAATTAGTTGCACAACCTGAAAATCTGAAACAAGTTTTTAATTAGGTAGGATCAGAGAATTTCTAGTAGCTGATTCACATTTTTCGTCTTGATTTAAGAAAAGAATCAACAAAAATGTATTCAATTTTATCCAACCATTTTCGAGAAAATCGGTGTATGAGGATTCTTCAGATACACCAGAATGACTAAGAGCATAGCCTTTCATGGCTGGAGATACGATTAAAGAGAACAACATTCGGGATAGTAGGCACATTATAGTGTTAAATTAAGGGATGTTATTATTGTGTGGTGATATCGTGATGATATCAGCTGATACTTGATGAAAATGCATATCTGAGTAAAACTTCATAATCAAAATTATCACTAAACATGCATTTCACAATAAAATGTTACTCAAATATAAAATTCTAACGCGGTAGACTATTACTGTAAAATCAAAAATTGACGAGATTCAGAATTTTTCTATGCATATATACTTACAGAGATTGAAACAAGGAATTTATTCCATTTACCTATTTCACACTGTATATTTCTAATAACTTGTTTCGAAAGTAAATATCCATTGAAATTTTTTGGTTGCCAATCAACAACTATGAGATACCCTTACTCAGTAATTTGTGGTTTATTCATCAATAACGACATTGTCAATTCCAACCTGAACTAGGTTCAACCTGTAATTCAAGTGCCAGTAATTATTCTCAGTTTTACAATTCAATAAAAATTATGTTCCAAGGAATCAACATTTAACGAATGCATCAAATTATTGTGAAATGTAAATAAAGCCTCACTATGAAATTGGAAATTGTATGTTAATGTGCATATGTAATTATCACTAAATACGTTCGTTAGGAGTCGAAGAATTCAAAAAACTGGTAGGATTATGTAACGATGATACGGAGGAAAGTAAATATTCGTATGATGATGAAGTCACTGGATTTGCTCAGCTACCAGGCGTTGTAAAATATTAACTTGAGAGAACCTTGCGGCAACAATTATACATACTCGTAAGACCATTGTGCATGGAACGGAATGTATTTGAACATATATTGCAATTCGACCGTGAAGAATAATTATGTGCTTCATTTCTCATCCAATTTTTTGTTGTTATTGGTCACATGCTCCTTTATAATTAGTAATGAAAGCCAGTCTGTCATAGAATTCATCAGTTTCCTTGATTGCAAAAACAATCCTTTGATTTCGTAATCATGCTTCAGGATCCAAAACAATATAAGAATATATCTAATTATTTCGAACAGGGCCAGCAGAGTGACAGATTTTCATAAACTGTTGAGGTCTCCATATAGTTCAAAAATAGTAATGGAGGTACTTGAGCTTTCCAAGTTTTTTCTCTCGGTTCTTTGATGACGACATTTGTTAGATTCTACAGTGATGGCTAGTTGATATCCAATTGAATACTCACCCATATTACATCTTGTGTTCTGGCAGAGTATAAAATAACTGAACATTTTCCCAGTAATTTTTTGTAGCGTGTTTTGTCCTTGATTAAGCTTGTTCTGATCCTCCACCTGATCAATAGTTGATGAAAGATCAAACAAGCAAATTAATCTAAAAACATTACATGCCACAAAATATGAGCACATTGTTCCATTTCGGAATCAAAAATTGAACTTAATTTTTTTTTAAATCAAAACTTAAAAAAAAATTCAGAACTGAAATCAGAAATTTTAATGGCCTTTTTCAAAAATTTTCACTTTGAATGAAGGACATTATACAGATCCACTAGAAGAGGCAGTAACTTGATATATTCAACGGTAAAATGCCTCTCAAAATAAGAATTTTATGAATATCCAATTGAAAACCCTTTTATCCAGCAGTTTTCTACGTTCTCTTTTATAAAATTTCGTCGACAGATGTCAAATGATATTTGAAATGAAATATATCAATGCTGTAGATTGAGTATTGAAAAATTGGATGTTGTTGTCATTTTGCCACTTTTCTTATCTTTCTTCAAGGCGAATAGTCATTTTGAAAATATCAATCAGTTCAAAAGCTTTGGACATTCATTTGAGAAAATATTCAGGTCGAGTAGATTATTTCCTGAAATATTCTCAGCTAAATGTATCGATATAAGAACGAAATATCAACTCTCTGATTGAATCAATTTTAATATCTGATTAAAGTTTTACAACAACAATTTATTTTGAAAGTACAATGGGGAATGTTCCTCCTGACGAAAATCAAGTAGTTTTCATATAAGAGCTCTAAAACAACGCATTTTAAACTTATCATTTCAACCTTTTTCTTTAAAAAATTATTTAAATTCTTAAAAAAGAGGAATGAAATAATGCATTCAACATTTAAAAGGATTCGTTTTTATTTCACCATTTGGCAACATCGGTTATAGCTAATAAAGGACAATGAATCTATTACCTGCATGAGACAAACAAAGATGACATATTTCAGAGGCGTGCTGTTCTGTTTACTTATGTTCCAAGTTCCGAGACATTCTGTGACATATGACATTTTGTGCACCTAACCTATATTCCTCTATATAAATAAATAACAAAACAACTGTTGTTTATGTGGCTTGTGGAGGTGGTATTGAACTATAATTTAGATTTTGCCTTAATTGTTGATTCATAAAGATAATTTTCCTTTTTTAAAGTAGAATATCTAGGTAAGTATAAATTATTTCAACTTGATATAGGCGCTGTTGCCAATATGTGAATTAGCTCTATACCGCGTGTTTAGAATCACACGTTGAATGGCAAGACTTCGCACAAGTTTCGACTTTTGAGAGTATTCGTTCGTAGGGGAATGAATAATGACACATAGATATTGATTTTATGACCGTGATTTTTATTGCTGTTTTGAACGAAAGGTTTCATCGCTGTAAAACTCCGTTTTGGTGGCTTAGCCTTCAATTTTTATACCATTTTATCGGTTTGAAATCTTATGTTTTTGTTCTTTTGTAGAAACAGTAAATTATATCTTTTTCAACAATTGCATGATTGTTTGATGTGTAGTGTAGGTAGGTTGATGAAATCTTCAATTGATGTTAATTTTCCTGTTAATTTCGTTGGATATCCTATATCTTGTGATTTCATACTTTGTCATCCGTCTTGTTAATAATATTCAAATGGCCAAAGATCGTAAATGCCAAGCCTGTAAAGTCTCGTTGAGTAAGTGAAATCTTGAAAGAACCTTGAAAAAGTGATGTCCTAGACGATGACAATTCAAACAATATTTTATAAATAACCACTTACTCAAACAGATACTCATATGGTAATATTTTTTCCAAAAAAGTGCTTCTGGCATTTGAATAAATAATTCGACATTTTTCGACACTTACGTAATACTTTCAGAATTAACTGTGCGTACTCATATCGTCTTGAGTTTTCAAAATGGTCACCAGGTGCAAAGATGTTTTCGTATAGAAGCGGACATTCATGAATATTGGAAAGTGTAGCCATGCCGAAAGAAACAGACATAAATTAGTATCCGCCAAAGTAAGATGTGTAGGTGATGGCACATTATAAAATACACATTTTTGAAGTAATTATCTTCTAATATCTATCGATTTGTTAGTTGTATTGGATTTTTGGATAATATCACCTGCCATAACGCGAAAAAAAAAGTTATTAGAATATCTACAAAAACAGTCGCTGATGCATTGTTGTTAAACAATGTCCTAACCAAATGAGAGTGCTTGTAGGTAGTCGTATTCAAAATTCACCTACAAAAATAAGCGTAAAACGTATGTTTCGGAAACGAAATGCGTTCCCCTCTTAAAGAACGAACTAAGGACTATTATTTGAA